TCATTCTGGCCTCCTCCCACCTCTTTGATGACCTTAATAAGTCTGTCTTTAACCTGAGCAGCTGTACAGTGGTTTCTTAGGCAGAGAAATAAATGCACTACATACCATTTCTTTTCTTCATTTCTTCTTTTTTCTTTTCTCTCTCTTCCTAAGTCTTCCCTCCTTTCACAGATGTTTATTGAGCACCTGTTGTGGGTCAGACACCATATCAAGTGCTGAGGAAACAATCTCTGGCCTCGAATTCATAGGCTAGAAGCAGGGGCAGACATATAAATTACATTACAATGTGATAAAACTGGAAGAAGACCTGCTTTCAAGGTACATGGAGCTTGTAGAGCAAGTCAGTCCCTACAAAGGGGGTGTTGCTTCCTGAGTCTTAAATAGCAATTTTGAGATTGCTAGGTATTTAACAAGGGAGAAAATGTCAGACATAGGAAACAGCATATGCAAAGTCAGAGGTGCTGGACCAGCTCATGGCAGGTTGGAGAGCTGTGTGTGCAATGGTTTCAAGATCACAAAGTGCATGGAGTGGTGGATGAAACTAGATAGGTAGGCAGAAAGCAGGTCATGAATGTCAAGAGGGTAAGTCAAAGAATTTTAATTCTAGGAAGTAGAAGCCATTGAAGATTTGGGGTAATTAAGTAAACAAATCAGTTTTGCATTTTAGAAAGGTCACTCTGGCAAAGTATGAAGAATGGTTTAAAGTCAGAGAGACCTGGAAAAAAAGCCTCTTCATAGTTCAGAAACTATGAGAAAACTCTTTGCATTGCTGTTTATCAAGAAGATCCAGACTACTTATAGAAATGTTTGCAATCTGTGAAAAGGCCAACCTACCCTGGAATTAAAGTTGTCATGGTCATAGATGGAAATTCAGAAGATGATCTTTACATGATGGACATCTTCATTGCAGTCATGGGCAGGGACAAATCAGCCACTTAGATCTGGAAGAACAACTTCCACATGAAGGGTCCTGGTGAGACAGATGAGTCACATAAAGAAAGCTCACAACATGTCACCCAGTTGGTCTTGTCCAACAAGAGTATTTGCATCATGCAAAAATGGGGTGGAAAAAGAGAAGTCATGTCCACGGCTTTCAGAGCACTGGGACCAAGTGTGGATTATGCACAGGTTGGTGATTCAGACACCATGCTTGACCCTGCCTCATCAGTGGAGACAGTAAAAGTTTTAGAAGATCCCATGGTTGGAGGTGTCAGGGGAGATGTCCAGATTTTAAACAAGTGTGATTCCTAGATCTCCTTCCTCAGCAGAGTGAGATACTGGATGGCTTTTAACATAGAAAGGGCCTGTCAGTCTTATTTTGGATGCGTCCAGTGCATCAGTGGACCTCTGGGAATGTACAGAAACTCCTTACTGCATGAATTTGTGGAAGACTGGTACAATCAAAAATTTATGGGCAGGGGACTTCCCTGGTGGTCCAATGGGTAGGACTCTGTGCTCCCAATGCAGGGGGCCCGGGTTCTGTCTCTGGTTGGGGAACTAGATTCCACATGTATGCTGCAACTAAGGATCCTGCATGCCGCAACTAAAGACACACGTGAGCCAAAAATAAATGATAAACAAATAAATATTTAAAAAAAATTATGGGCAGCCATTGTGGTTTTGGAGATGACAGGCATCTAACAAACTGAGTGCTGAGCCTGGGCTATGCAAGAAAATACACAGCTCGATCCAAATGCCTTACTGAAACACCTAAGGGATATCTCAGATGGTTAAACCAGCAGACCTGTTGGAGCAAGTCCTGCATCCGAGAGTGGCTGTACAATGCCATGTGGTTTCATAAACATCACTTGCGGATGACCTGTGAAGCAGTCATCCCTGGGTTCTTCCCTTTCTTTCTCATTGCCACAGTAATCCAGCTCTTCTACAGGAGTAAAGTTTGGAACATCCTCCTTTTCTGGTTAACTGTCCAGTTAGTGCGTCTCATAAAATCATCTTCTGCCAGCTGCCTTAGAGGAAATATCATCATGGTCTTCATGTCCCTCTACTCAATGTTATACATGTCAAGTTTACTTCCCGCCAAGATGTTCCCAGTTGCAACAATAAGCAAAGCTGGGTGGGGCACATCTGGAAGGAAATCCATTGTTAATTTCACAGGACTCATTCCAGTATCAGTTTGGTATACAGTCCTCCTGGGTGGTGTGATTTTCACCATTTATAAGGAATCTAAAAAGCCATTCTCAGAATCCAAACAGACAGTTTTAATTGTTGGAACATTGCTCTATGCATGCTATTGGGTCATGTTTTCGACACTGTATGTGGTTCTCATCAAAAACTGTGGCAGGCGGAAGAAGGGACAACAGTATGACACGGTGCTTGATGTACGATCTTACATTTGATGTTTGTAGTTGCAGACACACACAAAACCTTACTTCCTCTAGGGACTGTATGGTTGTGGCATCAGATAATGCCACCAAAGGAGACACATCACTGCTGCTGGGACTTGAACAAAGACATTTGTATGGGTTTATTTTAATTCTGCCAAAGTAAAATGATACATGAAGAAGAAGAACTCACATTTAATCTGATACTTCTATGAAAATGGGAAGAATTCTTTGTTTATGCACTTTTTCCTTATTGTACATCCGCCTAGCAGTGTTTTGCCCTATATACCTCACTAGTCATGCTTTACGTGGGTAACCATGGAAGAAGAGGATTTTGGAAGCTCAAGGAAAAGTTCTTTCAACATATACAACCTAACTTATGGACTGTGTTGATGCTAATTTTTTTTTAAGAAAGGGTTTTCTGTTTAACTCTACCAAATGAAAGGCCGAAGGAAATTTTACAGGCTGTTGTCTGTGCTATATTTTTATATAATTGTACTGTGTTTTAAAATTTTGTATGCCAATTTTAAAACAAATTTTGCATATTTTATATTTTACTTCTCTGCCAAAATACACCTGTTCTTCCTTTTTTAAAAAAAAAAAATAAATAAGTTCTGAAAAAATTCATACTTAAAAAATTTCTACCCAAAATGTGAAGCTTGGTTGATTTATGTTGTTCATGATAGAAAGAATAAAATGTTTCTCTCTCTCTCCCTTTAAAATTGAATAGTTTGTTTCTGTGAAAAAGTATTTAAACTTTCAATATTTTAACTTTTTTTCATTTCTTTAGAAAAGGCCAATATACCTGTCACACTTTGGGAGGAGAAATTCATACTTATGTGTACAAAAAAGAAGTCACTGAAAATCAAGGCCAAAGGGGTAGAAAAGTACAATTTTTTCATAAGATTGAAAAAAAAGGGAATGCTAGTTCTCAAAAGAAAACACTAGGCATCCAGCAGTGGACAAAATCTGGGTATTAAAGATGGTCTTTGGAGATTCTCACAGTGTTTTCCCAGGCTAAGTAAAAAGGAAAGTGGGAAAAATTATCTGTACAATTTGGACAAATACAAAGCAGTTCATCATTTTGTTCTGTGACCTGTATTCACTGGATCCTGTCTATATATTGAACATACTTTACCTACCTTTTTTTTTTCCAGCTTGTCAGTTCACTTTACATGTTAGTATGAGGTTTATACGGGTGAGTGGGATAACTTATAATAAGGCTAAGGCATACAGATTCAAAATTGGCAGAATCAAGCTCCACATGTCCTCTTTAACTTGCTAGGGAAGATTTTTTTCTGAATTATACAGATAATTGCTTCATCTCTTCTGTTCCTGGCCTACATAAATGTGTTTACATAGTAGACATGATATCAAGGCTTAATAGTTATATCAAGAATTGGCACAGGGCTTCCCGGGTGGCACAGTGGTTGAGAGTCCGCCTGCCGATGCAGGGGACACGGGTTCAGGCCCCGGTCCGGGAAGATCCCGCATGCCGCGGAGCGGCTGGGCCCGTGAGCCATGGCCGCTGAGCCTGCGCGTCCGGAGCCTGTGCTCTGCAACGGGAGAGGCCACAGCAGTGAGAGGGCCGCGTACCGCAAAAAAAAAAAAGAATTGGCACATAAAAAATTGATGGACCAGGTACCCTCAGCCTTGTTAATTTAGCTACTCTGGGGTCTTAGTTATCCAGTTTGACTTTTGACATGACCCATCTTGCCTTGTAGCTGGTGCTGTGTAGACCTGTGTTTAAAAACAATTGAACACATGAAGAGTCGCCTAAAAAGTATTGTGAGGAAGCATAAATGGGGAGAAGTATTCAACCATGTGTTTCTTGCCTTTCTGCTTCCTTTTTATGCAGACACCTGTATTCCATCCATCCTGCTTAAGAAAAAACTGCCCATTCTACCTTCAGAGTACAAAAACTTACATAACGTTCTACAACTTAGACTCTCACTGATTGGAGAGCTTGTGAGAAACGAACAGACCCTGCCATTAAATGAGACTAAAACTTGAGTTTGCCTTTTTGACTTTTTATGTTCTAAGTTAAGCTTTGATAACATTCAAATGTCAATTTCTCTCATTCTCATAAAACATGGAATTAATTGCCTATATTTATTCTAGCAATTATTCAATGTATTTCCAGTGTAGGATGTACAGTATAATTGAATTTTTTTGTAAATAAGATATTTTTGATAAGGAAAAACAAAAAAAATTAAGCAGGAGAGATAGGATAGAAAGTGAGAGAATACGGGTGCTTTGGTCCAACTATTGAGGGGGATGGAAAGGGTTGCAGACCAGGGATGTGAACCCTATTCTTGGTTGAATGACAAGGTGGGTGACAGCTCCAGCTCCTGCCTTGCCCAGAATCCCATCTCTAAGGATGAAGCACTTAGACCCACCTCTTTGATGCTCCAGCTACGCCCCTACCTTTGACCTGGTTCTTTGTGCTCTAGGCTCATCCCCCTTGGTCAAGGCTCTGGTATTTTCCCACTTGTAACAAGGACAAACTATAGCGTGGCAGATTTCCCAATTCTGTTGTAACAGAACGGAACTCTTTAAAAGCAAATGTGCTGGAATTGTTGGTTACAAAGAAAAAAAAATGTATCAGCAGTTCAGTTCAATGACATCCTATCATTATTCGTTTTTCTTTTTTTCCAGGGGTCTACTATGCAACTGCATACTGGATGCCTACTGAGAAGAGAATACAAGTCAAAAATGTCCTAGACAGGAATGGGGATGCCTATGGCTTTTACAATAACTCTGTGAAAACCACAGGCTGGGGCATCCTTGAGATCAGAGCGGGGTACGGTTCTCGATCCCTGAGCAATGAGATCGTCATGTTTGCAGCCGGCTTTTTGGAGGGTTACCTCACTGCCCCGTAAGTACCCAGTCATGGTGGAGAACTGCCAGGCAACCTCTGTCCTTTTCTTTGCCCAACAGTGGTTTTTTCTTCCTGGCATTGTACACTAGAATTGAAAATTTGCCATGGTTTTTCTCATACGATAGAAAGATTATCAGAATTACATTTGAACCTGTAGTAGTCATACCTGCCTAGAAGGAGCAAAGCCCCCAATTGTGACACATTTTAAAATCTTTCCCTCTCATGAAAATCTTTTAAAAGACTGCTAAGTCATTTCATCATACTAGTCATTTATTGTCAGGTAGAAAGCAAATGGAGGTGGAGTGGCTCTTTGAGGACCACAAACAGAGAAGATTAATTCAAAATAAAAATAAAATGTAAGAGCATTTATTTTCAACCATCTTAGAACAATACTTTCAAGTGGGGGAAGATTTTAAATTGAAATTTTAATGTCTAACATGAATGTTCTTTCCAACTCTATTGTTATTTAATTCTTGTGTTCTTCCCTTGTCTTATGGAAATAACAAAATATGTACTTATAATAATGCAATCATGACTCATCCTTTTTAGAGAACAGATCTTTGAGGAAAGGAAAGTTGCAACTCATTTAAACAAGCCTCATTCTTCCTTTGATATAAAATGTCTTGAGGACGTGGTTTTCTTCTTTTATGCTCTGTGACCTAGATTGTTGAGTGCAGTTTAACCAAACCTTATTTTGCACTGTTACCATCTTAGTCATAGTAAATGCAGTGCTGATCTTAATCTGTTTATGAGTACTGGCAATTGTATCAAATGTTGAATGACTAATTGCTGGACTCTGGCTGCTCTTTTTTAAAATTTAAACGAAAAATTCCTGGTTTTGTTTTTATGCCAAATTTTTGTTACCTTACCATACAAGTCCCCTTAATAGGGGACTCTCAGTTTGGAGATGTAGAAAACTTTATAAACTAAATACGATTTAAAAAACATGTTTAAAACTGTATTCAACATGTAAAAATCTGAACTTCTTCTTTTCCCCTACAAATCTTTATTTCGGGATCCACTGGTTTCTGACTGCATTCTTGAAATTGAGTTGCAAGTTTGGAGAAATAATTCAGATTGAAGTTGTGTGAACGTAAATGTATTCAATGAAGTCATGCATAAGATACATATGAGTTATTAAGGGAAGCTATGTAACTTGAGTGGAGCATCTCTAATCTGTGTTAGAGATGCTAACATAGATTGAACGTTGAGAGCCTAAGCTTGTCTTCCTTGGACTTTGGCATCAGTACTAGAGAGCTCAGGGAGTTTGACCGAGGAGACTTCTGACAAAAGTGACCCTTCTGTTATTCTTATGTCTCAGGAAAACCTAAGTTTTAACATCTCACTTTGGGAAGTAGCTTTATGATTTCTGCCTTATTCATAATATAAAGTACTGACCTATCCTTGAGTTCCTTTATCCATAACCACAAGCTGTGCGGCTAAATAAATAAATAAATGCTACTATGTAAAAAAAAAAAAAAGAAAGAAATACAACCAAAACCATCTTTAGAAGGGCATTTCCCAGAAGCTCCTTTTCAGAGGCTGTCATTCTGACTGCATTGCTGAAAAGTCCAATAAGTAGGGGAATTTCTGAATCAGCATGCATTCAAAGGCTCTGCTCTGTGCTTCACTCAAAGCTCAGAACAGTGGGATGTGACCCGGCAAGCTTAAAACAGACCCCTGGCAGTGGGTTGGGGAAGAGGGAAGAGACAGAGGTGGTTACCAGTTTCCTGCCTTCCTCTTCTGATATGGTCTAGGAGGTGAAGGCTTACTACACATTCTGTTGCCCAAGAGTTTAATTTGGAGGAAGGAGAAATGCCAAATGAAGTAAAGAATCAGGGCTCACAGAGACAAGAGCTCTGGCAGGGAGACAGGGCAGAGGGGAGGCTGGAAGAATTCATGTGCTTGAGACTCTCAGACCCAAGGCGCCACCCAGGAAGGACTGCACCAATAGGCACCCCGTGCACTGTCTCAACTGAGCAGAGAGGCAGTGGGGCTCCCTCCGAGCAAAGGTATCCAGCATTCTCTGAAGCAAAGCAGAAGAGCTTAAAATGTCAACCCTCTGGAAGTTGTGACTGTAGCCACAAACCAATGGCGGAGAAAGAATACAGGTCATAGGCTAGAGTTTTTTGTTTTCAGCTACACAGGGACAGTTGTATGAGAAGCAATAGCATCTTCATACAGACATCATTTTATCAATTTAAGACATATACTGCTGGGGACTGTTTTGCAAAGGACAATTCCACGTACCAAGACACAGCCTTGGAGCCAGGGCAGAGAAGGTGAGTTTGTGCCAGAGGCCAAAAGAAAGAACCGCCTTGTTTTCCTCTCATCTTGCAGAGCTGCTCAGGCAGCTGCCAAGAGCAGTGGGAAGTATAGGGCTGCCACGTTTTTCCACATCACCACATTTAAAATGCAGTGGTGTGCCTTATATTCTGCCGCACTTCGGGGGGAGATGTGTGAAAGGACGAACATCGTGCGATGAACGACTGAGATAGGCAGATAAGGACGTTGGTTTGACGGCCTCAGAAAATATAATTTGCTTTTACCAACCTATGAAACGCTCGAGAGACCAAATCAAAACACAAAGAAATACGCTCAAATCCTCCATCACTGCCTTCGAAGCACGCAGCAATTTGTTGCTTCTTTGAGCTTTTACGACACTTTTACGACACCTTCCCGGGCCCGCCCTCTGTCCTGTATCCGGAAGCTCCTGGCGGTGTACCTGCGCGGCTCCTGCAGGGTTATCTCGCCGTGCGCAGCGGAGGCGGATCCACCAGGGCCACAGCCTCGGGTAGGCATTCACAATTTTCAGGAGCTTCTCTCGCTGTCTTGCTCTTCTTCACACTCTCTTCTCCCTCTTCTTCCACTGCCCCACCCCCGGCCCCTGAGGAGCCCCTCACTGCGTGATGCACCACGCAGACATGCATTCGGAGGGCCCCCTGAGGCTTGCTGTGATGCCCCTTCAGCCTCCCGCACAGCCCCATCCTAGCATCTCTTAGAACTGTGATTCCTGAGAGCCAGATGCTGCCTCTTCCGTCTCCACCTATCAAAATCCTGCGCAGGGCTTCCCTGGTGGCGCAGTGGTTGAGAGTCTGCCTGCCTATGCAGGGGACACGGGTTTGTGCCCCGGTCCGGGAAGATCCCACATGCCGCGGAGCGGCTGGGCCCGTGAGCCATGGCCGCTGAGCCTGCGCGTCCGGAGCCTGTGCTCTGCAACGGGAGAGGCCACAACAGTGAGAGGCCTGCGTACTGCAAA